GGTGCAGCAAAACAGAAAAGACGTGGGGCGGTTGTTCACGGGCTGAATAGGCCCTTGTTCCATGTGGACTTGACCAGCGCGGTCCAGAGTGCGATTGCGAATGTGGAGGCTAGAGAGGAGTTTAGGGCTGCTTCTTTGTCGTCGTCGTCTTGATCTATATTGGCATATTTTATTCTCAGCAAACATATTGGAGTTTGGGCATGATAGATTTAGCGAAGGCATAAGCGGGCATTTTGATACACTAGATACACGTATTTCAAGCCATAATACCGTGAAATCTGATTTATGATCTATTCCATATCTCCACGGCATAGTCCCTTTTCAATGTTTCTAGGCATGACTATTACAGAGGATGTGACGTTTGGTGCCGCTCATGGGTAGCCAGTGACCTGAAGGACATAACTGAAGTTTGACGATTTGTTAGATTTGTCTTCTATTTGATAACTAGATAAACCCTTTTCCCCTTGGCTATTAAAAATATTTATTCAAACTCTGGATAATGTGGGAACTGCAACTGTGATGATGGGACCGTTAAAACGAGTCCAAGCAGTCACCTGATTTCGCGTCCGTTTCGCCACGCAATTCACGCCCCGCCAACTTGTCTCATCAAACTCACCGACGTTGCAGACGAATTTGAAACCTCACTTCAGCATCCGGGTGTCCTGCGTGTAAAAAAAGAGCAAAACCTCATCTGTCATTTGAGTCAATTCGTTGTGCTGAGACCGAGAGACTGGTCACCACAGCCTTCTCGTCATTTACAATGCCCATTGGCATCCAGCGTCTCAATGCCAAGAAGTCGCAACCAAACGCCAACATCGTCTTTATCAAGCCACTGCCTGGTTTGAATGAGAAGACGGCCCAGGGATTCCTTGAAAGAATTGCCGCACAATGCCGTGAGCCTCACCCCACGAGTCCTGTTCTTACGACTACTAAAATTACCAGTCCCCGTCATGCGGAAACACCACATATCAGTCATGACCCTCGAAGAATACGAACCAAATCGCGAGTTTGTAGGCCGCAATTTCAATGCCGGTGAAGTGATTCAACTTGTTCTCCGGTCCCCCTCAACAGGCCGCTGGCTCCCATTTGAATACGTCCAAATGGTCATGATGCACGAACTAGCGCATTGCAAACAAATGAACCACTCCCGCGCTTTCTGGGCGGTAAGAAACCAGTACGCCGCGCAGATGTACGAGCTCTGGAAGGAAGGATACACAGGAGATGGAATCTGGGGCCGTGGTGCGAGTCTGATGACAGGGGAGTGGGAGCGGAATCAAGTACAGGCAGACGAGGCTCTTCCAGAGCATTTGTGCGGGGGCACATACCGCTCCAGACGGAGGAAGAGAAAGACCAAGCCTGCCTTGTCGTACAAGGAGCGCAAAGAGCGGAGGATCTTAAAGAAGTTTGGCAAGAATGGGATGGCGCTGGGGGCGGATGAGGAGACAAAGACGAAGCTGGAGAAAGGGAAGAGGGTGCAGGCAAAACCAAGAGTGGCGAGCAGTGCGCGGGGGCGGGAACTACGAGCTGCTGCCGCGCTGGCGAGGTTTGAGCAGAAAAAGGTGGAGGAGGAGGAGGAGGAGGAGACGGTCAAGGAAGAGACGGGGTCTGGTAGTGAGGGCGAGTATGACGACGATGCTAGTGATGGTGATGGCGAGGCCGCTGTTGATGTGGACGGTTCAACGTTGAGGGATAGCACGGGCAGAGGGATGGTCAGAGTATGTCAGGACGAGGATACGAGTGATCCTGATGCCCGGAATGAACTAGGCCAGCTGGCAGAGGTGTTCAAGCGGGCAAGGAGGGGTGATGCTGGAGGCACAAGCTCGCAGACAGTACGGGTGAAGGCGGAACCGGAAATGGAGGCTCCCTCATCCTCGTGGTCGACAGGCGCAAAGACAGAAGCCGTTCAAGATGGCCCACGACTTCACGACATACCGGTTGCGCCCCCGGCGGCACAAATTGCCAAAGGGTCCTTCAAACAGGAAACCAGCGGCCCTTCGCAGCAAGCTTCGGTACAGAGCATTTCAGCATGCTCAACGTGCTCCTTCATCAACCCTTCATCAGCACCAACATGCAACATGTGTGCCAATGTTCTCGACCCAACCCACACACCGAATTCCTGGCGTTGCACCAGCACAACGTGTACAGACAGCAAATATGTCAACTCTGGCGACTGTGGCGTCTGTGGTCTCTGTGGACGAAGACGAATATAAAACCTGTGGTAAGACAAAGTAATGGGTAACGAGTGATGAGTCTTTGTATATATAGATGGCAATGTCCACCAAGGCATCTACGAAAGTCATGGTTATACGCTCAATTTCCTTTATTCACTTTTCCGCCAAATCTAATCGCATTTTTCAATGCACACTGGCCCCTTGGGGGCCGTCAGGCCTGCTGATGCATGCAAGTCGTACGATTGGTCTCATCTCACATGCATATTTCAGCAACCATCGTTTCATGTACACATGGAACCACAGAATGGCCGCATTGGACACGGCGAACCATACCAATTGAAAGACAGAGTGTGATCTGGAGGAGTACAAATCGTGTCATTTGAGTGGTGGTCATCCCTGGATCGCGGACGGGTTTGACTGTCTATGTTGGGCACGGGGGACATGAGACTTGTTTGAAGAGCGCCAGTTGGAAGTTGGACGACGAGTGGTGTTTGACGGAATAGAATATCTTTCATTCTTTGTCATTCCTCTGCTGCTCATTCGCATTGTTCCGTTCTCGGCGGTCGAGTTGTCTAGATTCATTTGGCATTGCTTTGTACGTGCGCGGCGGTATACCACGGTGCACTTTGCACACACGCATAGCGAATACACCAAACCGCCAGTACTTTACAATCATCACATCAACGCCGTGAAGTTCTTACAACCTGCCTTACTAACCAGCCTGGCCGTGTTTGCAGCCGCCGAGAAACCTCCCGCCGCACAAGTTCTCAACTACCATTCATGCCCCGAATCCCGAGCCAAGCAAAGCACATGGAGGTGCTGCGAACTCGCTCGGCCCTCCCGACGCCAGATACCGGCGCCGTAATATCTACAACTTGCGTAGACGCAAGCCAGTTCATGATTAAACTGGGTATATTATCTTTGCGGGCGATGACGGGCTGACAACGTCTTGTAATCACGGAGATAGGTGCGCACGACGAAAATGAGGCCCAGCTAAGCACCTGCGGCGGCATGCCCGTATCAATACACGCGTGTCGAGGCGCTCCAGCGACGACAGGACGGGCCCGGACATCGGTGTTCAGCGTGTCTGCTGCCGGTACAGATGACACTATTGTCATTTCTAGCGGCAGTGACTTTGGTATGTCCATGCCGCGAGGTCGGCGTGTCATCGCGGAAGCCTATCGGCGGTATGTGCTGGATGGGCATCGAGTGGTGGGAATGTGGCATTTACGTTGCGCAAGCCGTAAGCATTAAGCAAATAACGGAGAAAAGACTGGAGAACTGCTCGCATAGGCTATAATTAGCCTCGGACACAATGCGTTGCATATCTCGTTGGGATGAGTCCAACATAAGGGAATACTAGCGTTCTTGCTTCGAGAACGCTTGCTCCCGAATGTTGATTCCGACGATCCGGAGCCAAGGTACGTCGGATATGCTGCAAGCCTCCATCCGTTCCGTTGCTGTTGGTTTACATGTTTACGACGGACACTGGATCTGATCGATGATGCCAGGGCGTCCGTGTATTTAAAGAGACATCCGGGTCCGTATCCCGGGTGTGTGTGGACACATTAGGGGGAGTCTGGGGTTATTTAGGCAGATGATGACTAGTTCATGTGGATTTGGGGCCCTTATTTTCTTGTAGAAGATGATGTATCAGCTCTCAGCAGTCTTTGGACAGCTTTCCTCGTTGCAAGCCAGACTTGTTAAGGTTTTGGGCCAGCACGGAGAGCGGAGAATGCATGTGGCTACGGAGCCATGAGGAGGGGAGGGCTACGAAGCGACCTTAAATAACCAGCGTATTCGAAGATGGCCCGTTATGTTTCAGACGGGACAGATTGCTGGGGTATACAAATACTTGTTGTAGGTAGGCAACGATGTCGTGTTGTCTTTTGCGTCAAACATTGGCACATGGGGGGTTGGGTTATTCGTCATCAACAGTTCCTGTGCGCCGCGCCGCGCAACGCATCGTGATCCATGCCTGAGGCACAAACGAAACACTGATGTGGCAAAGCTGCCATGTGCTCTCATGGCAATAAACGTACTACGTAGCAGGTATTATGCAACAATGGGCAAATGCAGATCTGGCCTGGCTGCCATCCCTTTGCGCAGTCCGATGCTGTATCGGACCAGGGTTCTGGCCAATGATAAATACTGGTTGAAGAGATACGTTAACTTACGAGGAAATCATCTAGCAACAAAAGTACCCAAAACCTTAAAGCTAAGTACATGACAATATAAAGATCTACTACTTGTTCTCACTGTTAAGAAGGTACCTTCCGGTATTGTAAAAGAAGTGGGTACACCAATACAACAGCAATTGTCCTGTGCACATTCAAAGGGCAGGCGATTTTGAAGTGATGAAGTGACAGGAGCTGGCACTGAAAAAGGTGAGGAGACCCTTGCGACCTCCCAGGGTTTGTTGCGGGGTACCGAACGGCGTACCCAATTGGCACTAGTACTCCGTACCCTGAGCCGTGCTTGCAGGGATATTACCCCGCAAAGTGCTTCCATTGGATGACGTCTCTCGTTGTCCCAAACAGCCTAAAGTGTGCAGGTACGGAGGACTAGTACTGACCGAGTTGGGCTTGCAGTCTCTGGCGATGGATTGATTGTCCCTCTTGGCATTGTGTGGAGTAGTCGCAACAAAGTTAGGGGCGGACTAGGTACTTTATGTGAAGTATCTAGGTACTCCGTGCCTGTGCAGAGCCTTTGGGCTTAACCCTAACCATTAGCAACATTTGAAAACCATCGCCAGCAAGTACACCATCATCACCTGCAGCATCATCTGGAATTCTCCCCACTCCCAGCGGCAGCGGCCAAGCCTGCACTCTACGGAGTACAGAGTCCTACAACGAATGTCGTACACTTTCCTAGTGTGATTCTGACAGCACGTCCCAGGCTTCGATCTGAAGATGGGTGGATGGCCTGCTCGGTAACAGCACGTCGTACGGTTGCTGCGCCAGATTTCGAGTGGCCACGACGAGCCATGGCGTTGATAGTTCTGGGTGCCGCTCCGTAGGCAGTGGGGAGACTGATTCAAACTCTCGAGTGTGCCAAACCAAGGTGGGAGAACGCCACCCACCAGGACTGACAAGTAGGGTTGCTGCCGTGGAACAACATGGTTTCCAGATGCACCTCCACTTGACCTGCACACACCCAGAGCCATGACTGATGCCATTCGGTAAATAGAACTGTCCCGCCGAATCTGTTTGGTCGAATGAGTATCCTCCTCGAACCAGCCCTTATCAGCCCCCCAAGCCATGGCTCGACGGACCACTGTGGCCGGTTCCAAGGTGAAAAGGGAGAAAGGACAAGTCCACGAATGAATGACGATGCAACGGCTAGCCGCAGGCTCGCAGAAGCTCTTTGCAAGACTGCCAATCCGACCAGACGTCTGTGACGCCCGGCCAACCACAGCTTCGTCTACGGGGCCTGCGGAAATGTCGCCGTTCCTGGCTCGTGCCAGACTCATTCTCATCGTCCTACTCCGTAGTGCGTACATGAAGACGGAACCCAACACCAATCGGCAGTTGTACAATCTTGCCAAGCTGTACCAAGGCAGTAATTGGCAGCGCCTAGCAAGCCCACGAGTCCCTTCATCCCCACCATGTCGAGCCCATCCTTCAGGATAGAGATGGTAGCGGGCCCAAGAGATCTGAGTCGCATTGGTTAGGGCTCCTCACCCGGTTCCACCGATCGCGGCCAGCGGGCCTGTCGACGTCACCGGCTGCCTTTGAAGGCGTCAACTTGGTGTTGAGATCTGTTCGGTGCATGCCAGGATGAAGCTTGTTATTGTCCTATTCTCGACTTTGATGGGTTCCACCTACATGGCCGAGCTCTCCACCGCCCAATCCGTTGCTTGCGTTTGCGTGCTTGGGCGGGAGCTTGGGGTCGATCGCCTAGTCACCGTTCGTAGCTCCAAAGCTATCTATGTACAATACCAAACCCTCCGACCGGGATGGATCGTGTCGACCCCTCTCTTCACCGTGTTTGACAGCCGACGGCGGTTTGAGGTGTCGCATCTGCGCAACTAGGTGCCACCCTTTTAGAGTTGGTCCTTATCCTGTCTGTTGCTGGCCAATATGTAAAGAGCACACACTGTGTGTGGATGGTGACTCTCAAGCAAGGTGGATGAGGTCGTCATTGCATGACCGGAAGCTGCAAATGGGAAATCGGCCAGCTGCTGAAACCAGTTTGCCTCAGGACAGTGGTATTGCCCTGTTTTGTTGGCATGATGTGCCATGATATGCCCCCCTCAAGGCTCTCGTCTGACCTGATCTCGCCTGTGCCCTGCGCTGAAGTGAGCCCATTATCCATGATCCATCAGCCGTCCCCCACACGCTCCGCTACGTCCGTCACTCATTCTAGGCCCTCCGCTCTCGGTCCTCACGGAGGTGACGGGTGCCGTCCGTCACTCATCAGTCCATCGGTCCATCAACCCATCAGTCGTGCGCCCTCCCATTCACAACCATTCTAACTTCTGTCCGTCCCTCTCTCCTGTTCTTCGCATTTCCGCGTCGAGCTCATGTCGGTTGACTCGCGGCATTGCACTAACGGTACGTTGTTCTGGTCAAGTCCCCTCTCACCATCTGTTGGCGTCAACTCTCGTCCCCTTCTCGGCACCACACAGTCCGTTGTATCTTCTCTCTGCACCCACCCCCTGCCCAAAGTATTTTGAGTAAGACAAATACCACTGAAGCACGGTTCAGACTTCACACCACCCCGCGCTTGCACCTCGACTCTCTCCGCCGTTCCTTCCACTACTTCTACCTCGCTCTTTCCTATCGTCGCTCTCACTTTCCCAACCTAAAAAAAGGTTGCCCCCCTTTCTAGTCTGGCTGCTTGTTTATCTATCTGTCGTTCCTTCCAGATCATACATCATACGCACAGCCTATTGACGCTTTTCCCAACTGCTTCTTGCGCAGCAGATACCTCGTTTCTCTCAACCCCCCCTCTTACGACTCTGTCCATCCGTCAGCACGCTTTCTAGTCTCGACCATCTCGACCATCTCCACGCCAGCTCCCATCCATTGCCGCCGACATTACGTTCGCAGCTCACGGCAAATTAATAGTATCTCTGCCTCGTGTGTGGCTTTATTTTTCTTTCCTTTATTTTTCCTTCCCTTTTCTCCCTTTCCTCGGGGCAAAGCTGGTTGAATAAGCCCGGATCATAGAAAAGCTTCCACCTAGCTACTACACAAGGCTGCCGTTGAGCCCAAAATGTCTTCTGAAGGGGCCCCCAACGGCGCGGGTCACCGCCGTAGCTCAATCACCCAAGCCGCTCTCTCAAACCTCTTTCAACGTGGTCCATCCAACAATTCGAGTGGCGGTAGTGGCCAGATGAATAGCTTTGATCCTCAGCGGCGACGGTTGTCAGTTACTACAATCGGCCTCTCTGGCACGTCACCCACCAACCCGCCGACCTTTAACATGCGCCGCGGCAGCATGTCCACCAGCTCCGACTCTATCGACGAGAATGCTATCGAGGATGAGGACGTGCCCGGCTCCGCTAGAACCGCCCCGAACACGCCTTTTGTCCGCCGTATGAGCTTCGGCGCTTCGGCCATGAGAGGGTACCGCCCTGGTGGCAACAGTCCTGGCAACGGTAATAGCCCAGCCTCACCCCCGTCGTCTCTCGGACGAAGAGCCTCACAGAACCAAGGCTCTGTAATCGGCGCTGCTCTATCTGCAGCGAACCGCCGAGCCAGTACTGCGAGGCCTTCTTCCGCAGTTACACAGGCAAGCAACACCACGCCTTCAAGAGCCTCTTCTGACAATGCCAATTCTCGTGCAGACCAGCAGGGCTTCAATTGGTCCGAGCAGCTTAGGTCTCGAGCTGAGAGCTCTGTCTCCGCCGGCTCTGTCTCCGCCGGCCCACGAGCTTCATTCTCACTAGCCTCCTCGCCCCCAAGAGGAGCATCCCACCACGATCGGGCCAAATCCGTCTCCGACATGATGCAACCGCCTGTTCAGACACCGCCGCCTGTACAGCAGCCCAAGCAAGAACCACGCAAGCCAGATGCCTTTCAGGAGAGAATTCTCAAGGGTGACTTTTACATGGATTGAGTAGCTCGCTACTTCCTCACACAGTAGCGCTCTTATGTGCTTTGATGAGTTGAGGACCATGTTCAAGAGTCTTGCCAGCGACCAACACAGCTATGATGGCTGTGCAATGTTAACACGGAGAACAGCCCAATCTTTCGATGGTTTTACGTCCAATGCAGATACCTGCCGACTCCCATTTACATGAATGGGTCTTGCTTATGTCTTCTGTTGGCAACGCTTGTGTTAGTACCGCGTGTCGACAAGAATTTTATCATTTTCTTTTACAGGCATCACGCAAGGCGTAGGAAATTTTCTTCATTGTTTCTGCGAGTGCTACTATTAGAGCGCTACCGCCGATATGTAGCGTCGGGTCAGAAATGGGTCCAAAAACATTCAGGGCATGGCAAATGATTTGTTCTTGGCCGCACAGCAAACCAAAAATAAGCTGCAAAATGGTGCTTTGTCTATTTTCTATGTATTTATTTATTTGTATTTGAGAGCGACTATAACGACAAAGCGAAAGGGGCGGGTTGAGTTCCCGCCAGGACGAAGCGGCGCGCATGGCTTCAGGCTCATGTACTATCTACTATCTAGCTTGTGTGTGATGTAGGACTATACAGAGTCGCGACAAGGAGACATTGGTAACACATGGATGGAGGTGAATATCAGGATGAGATATCGGATTCACTTTTGTGGTGGGAAAGACACAATTTTGCTAGGCAAATGGCGTTGGCGAGTGAGTGTTTTTCTTTGCGTGAGCGCGACGGCGTATGAGTGAAATGAAGTTGGCATGTTTTAGGCTCGCTTGCATGACCTTTTGTTTTTATATTTATTTTTATTTGCTGCTCCAAGGACAGCTAGGAACAGCCGTCTTGAGCTCAGCGTTTATCTACTCAAGTAGACAGATTGAACGAATGTCCTGCAGCCTTGCGCCAAGCACAACACATGTGACATGTGACATGTCGTGCACGAGAGACAGAATTGAAACGTGCGACTCGTGGCATCATTAATGATTAACAGTAGTAATGTACAAAGCACCAGGCTAACCCGTACACATGCAACAGAATCCCTACGCCGGACCATGATGGATGAGAAGAGACATGGGAGATGAAAAGAAAAACACTGCCCACCCGATTAGAACCAAATATCAACGCGCAAATGGTCATCACAACGAAAAGAAATTGGGGTCCGGCAACCCCTGGAACATGTCACTAAATAGGGGGTCATTGAGAACCGCCATCTTTGCTCCCCCGCCGTACATGTCGCCCGACTGATCCAGCGGCACGCCCAGACTTTCAAAGTCAAAGTTGGCTGGCAGGCCTACTGTCATGTCCATGTCGACAGACGGCTGAGGAGGCTGGGCCATCCACGGCTGCGGGAAGGCAGACGGATCGCGCACCTGCGGGGGTGTGTTGGTGCCCTCGGCGTAGTATGCGTTTTGGGGCGGCGCCTGGCCGCCGGAGATGGAGTTGTAAAACGGCCGCGGGGTGTTGGACTCGCGGCCCATGGCGACCTCGGAGAGGACCTGGAGGGGCGTATTGGCAGCGTGCTCCGGCAGCGGCTGCGATGGTTGCATCGAAGGCGTGCCCCCGTCGGCGGGGGTGTTTGACGACGAGCCCGCGGCGGGCAGTGGGTTCTGCGCGTCCTGCCTGGTGTCGGCCTTGCCGTGCTTGAGGAACCAGGTGCGCAGCATGACGAGGACGAGGAGGAACTTCGAGGCAGGCCGGCACTTGTCGTCGGCGGCGGTGGCGCTGAATTTCTCCAGCAGCGCCTCGAGGTAGTACGCTACGCGCATGTTGTCCTTGTTGATGACCTTGCCGAGCTCCGAGGACGGACTGGACGCGGAGAAGTACATCTTCATCAGGATGACGACGGCGTAGGCGACCCGTACAAAGGTGAAGACGGGTAGGCAGCGGATGGAGAAGACGTCCATGGCGAGAAAGGTTTGAAAGATGGTGTCGATGGCGGACAGACAGGCTGACAGGGCATTGATGTGTGCAGCGCTCAGGGGTTCGCTACTGACCATGCCTTCTTGGAGCATATCCGTGGCAAAAGGGGGCCGGATTGCGTCGGCGGTGTTGTCGGAGTGGAGGGCTAGTTCGTGCATGTAGAGGTTCAGGATGCTAAAACTCATCTTGAGAGTTGCTGAAGCGTCGTCTTGTTGATTAGTGCCATGTGCGTCTTTCGGGCAGCAGAAGAGGGGAAAAACTCACGCTGCATCATCTCCTTTGGGACCGTGGCAATATACTTGTCAAGATCCCTCTCCAAGCCCCTAAGCGTGTACTGCGTCCTTGCATCCATAATGTTCACGGCTGTGTCAGGGTCGTCCATGGACAGCTGAACGCCAATATCTTCTGCCATGCGATGCGTCCAAATCAAATGACATAAATACCTGTCCGTGGGATAGGCATCCGGTGATGTGCTCAACATATCCAGGCTCTCCGTCATGAACGGCGACCAACGGATGAGATTTGGTCGATGTAGAGACATGGCCGTGTTAGCCGCCAGGAAGTGGCACGTCAGCCACGTTCGACGACATTCGAGACTGGTCGGGTCGGGTTGTGGATGCCGTCTGAACGGGTGTTCTCGCCAACTGAAGCCTGTCATGCTGCGCTTGGGTGCCGACTTCTTGCCTAGCCCAATATCAAGGGCCATGACGGCAGACATGTGGACGAGCTGGTAGAATTTGAGCTCTTCAAAGTGCTCCGGCGGCCAGTACCAAATGACAGCCATGTGGAGGGCTTGTATCAACTCAAGATTCTTCTCTCCAACAATGACAATCTTCTCGGCAAAGAGCTCCATCAGCTCCCGTTGCAAGACTCGCTGGAGGCCATGTGTCTCGGACGAGGCAGCCGCCATGACAGCCAGGAATAGATACGGCTTCGACCTGCGAAGTTCCATGACTGACATTGTGGGCGGAAATACCACGGCGGGTAAATGCTTCAGCATGTGTTCCTTGTACCTTTGAAACAGCTCGGCAGCCGCTTCCAAGCTTACAAGTCCTCGATCAATAATGTCGGTTCTGTTTCCGCGGCGAGCCATCGGCCATTGTGAAGAGCTTGCGGCAGGGGAACCTTCTCCCGAGCCGTCCCGGTGCTCCGTAGCTTTCCGCTTATGGCCTGCAACCATCTCCGGCGGATCAAACACAGATGGTCGATAAGATCTGGGAGTATGGCTCTGCTGTACTGGGCTTGCCACTATCCCCTGGGCGGCCGCGCCTGGCTCTGATCCAGCCCAAGTCCTCGCAGCATCACTATTGATCCAAAGCCCGGACATGCCTTCAGAGGACTTTCTCCGCGGCGCCGTCGCAGACGATGCCGCGATCCCTGCCATGGAAATTCCCTGTCCAGCAGCCGCCGCATCGCCGCCGCCGCCGATTCCCGGAACTGCGGCGCGAGCCTGCAAGCTGGCCGTCAGAGCATCAATCTTCTTCTCGAGCTCAGAAACCCTGCTGTCCGTCTTCTTCTGCCTCTTCCTCGTTGGCACCGTCACAACACAACTTCTCCCAGCCTTCTTACAGCGCTTGCAGGGAGCACCTTCGTCGTCGGGGTCGGGTTCGCACCGCACTTTGAGTCCGCGACAAGCCTCGCAGGCCCTCGACTTTTTGGCATCGGTGCCAGCCGCGCCACCGGCGGCACCTCCGTCATGATCGTTGCCATCACCATGCGGATTCTGTTGCTGGTTCGGCGTGCCAAGATCCGCAGGCGGACTATCGGAGGCTTCAGTCACGTGGTAAGGAGCAGGACGATGCTGTGCTACCGTCGATGCCGTTTCAACCTGGCTCGAGGGCGATGGTGTTGATGTGGACTTGCCGCGCGATACGGCGCCAGAGAGCAAAGGTGAACGCTGCCCGCCATGGTCTAATCGCAGTCGAGGATCCAAGTCCATGGGGATCGGGGAGGGCGGCTTCAAAGCTGCATGTGTCTTGGCAGTCGTCGTTCTATTGAACTGGACTTCCTCGTCCTGTCGGCAGTTTGGAGCTGCGAAGAACGGGAGTTGTTGTCGCCGAAGCGCCGACGCCTAGAGAAGAACGGAGCCAAGGGCGGAGACACAGAAAGGAGGAGCTCCAAGCCCAGCCACTTCGCTCTTTCCTTTCCTGTCGAGAGTGGAGACCACTGGGACATGTATGAAGGTGGAGCCGCAGATAATACCGAGTAACTTACGGAGTACTACGGGCGACTTGAAGGCGGCCTTTGGCCGGTTCGAAGCAATCGCCGAGAGGAAGTATTTCACCATTGGCAAAGTACAGGCAAGAGGTCAGTCTCCTCCCGTCACACACACTGACCAAGAGTTTGCCGCGAAACTGCATCTCAAAATTCTTCCGCGCGATAAGCCAACATGAGGGAAAGAGAGAAATAGACGGCAAGTGTATTCAGAGTACATAGCATTAAGATGGTATCATTCTCGTTCAATCGCAATCTCCATTGGCACAACCCTTCTCATCATAACAATCAACAAAAACACACTTTCCGCCCAACCCAAATTACCAAATGCGGTAAGTGAATAGTAGAATGACGTCCATGTAGTAAGACGCGGTTGAAACGCCTCGCTCTGCGTACCACGAACAAATCCAGAGTCTTAAGCCGTAAACGAGAAAAAAAAATTGAAGAATTCGCATATTTGTAACCCAACCTACCCATTACTGCCAAATGGCGTAGAAAAATAAATCGACACCCTTCCCCGTAATATCGTACACGCGTGTATATATGCCAGGCTTCGATGGCTGATCTGACAACCTCCTACCGCGAAGCTGGTCTGTGCCATTGCGCCGAAACAAAAAGAGCCTAGCCAACTAACATGTTTCATTTGCCCATCACACTGGTGTAAATAAATGATCCAACTCCTAAAGGTCTCAAGTCTTTGATTATTTCGTTGAACTCGCTTTGTTGTGGTTGCTGAATTCCTCCGTGACAAAAATCAGGGAAACAATGCAAGTAGTCGTGTCTTGATGTCTGTTTCCAACGTATGTTGATGATATAAAGAAAGCAGAGCAAAGCCGTGTCATGTCAGTCCGGATAATTTACCAAAAATAGGCTCCATTCAAAAGAGTGCGCCTTCGTCACGAAGGCGGCTCTTTGACCCGTGATGCTGTAAACCCGAAACTCCTCCCACATAAACCAAACTCTCTCGCCTTCTTGATTTAGTACTTTGTTGCGGCTCGTTGACGCCGTGTTCCTCGCTTGCTGACGGATAGATTGGCCGGTCATACCCGGGTGCAGTTCTAGCCGCAGGGTGATAGCCATGGCCATCGAATCCATTAGGCAGTCCATAGCCGCTCTCATATGCTGGTCTTGAAGCTCCTCCGTGCAGTACCAGGGGTGGCGTAGGGGTGGATCGAGCACCCTGGACATGAGACATCAGAGGTGGCGTCGGCGTCGACCTGGAATGCTCTCTTCTGCGGTCCATTCGCTGCTGGGGATGCGGCGAGGCGCTTCCGCCAGATGAAGTAGAGGGCCGTGTTGGCTCTAATCGTTGGGGAGGTGCGCCCGCTTGCCCGTTGGATTCCGAGTCTGTGGTTGAAGATGGCAGCTCATACTCTTCGGGATCGATTCCAAAAATGCCCTCGTAGTTCTGCAAGAACATGGCAAACACTTGTGCAGGGATATTGAGCGTAGGCGAGAACACAATGCCCACATTGCGTACGGTCATCTTATTAACCTTGGAGTTCTTTATAACTCGGATCAAGAACGCAATCAAGTACTTCAACAGGGTTGCGTTTGCCCTGGGTAGTCTTTGAGCCAGCTCGTTCATTTTTGCAACCTTTTCATCCAGATCCGGAATTTCAGTGGTGTGCAAGAAGGGGACGTGGAGGTCCGTTGTGAGAATAGCAGTTGGGAGTTCTCGCAAATAGAGCTTCAATAAAGATGCGACCGCATGAATATCATGATACTGCTCGTCAGCAACAAGATTCACATCACCATTCGTATTGAATCGCTCGCGAAGCTGTTTGATAACCGCATTAGATCCACTTAGTCGGAAGATGCCCTCTTCATCAACGGCAGTATGGTGGTCGAGATATTGTATGCATCGATAGACAACAGACGGCAGTGGCACGTTGACATCAACCGGCGGGTTGTAGCGAACTGCCTCGGCCAACGGTGCTCCAAACACTTGACGGACGGGCCCTTGGTGGCCGTAAGACGGAGGGACAGCTGAAGAAGATCCAGCGTCGCTGCCTCCAAACAATGAGTCCTGCCCGTCAGAAGAGGTCCGAGTCTTGGTTCCGAATCCAAAAAAGCTTCGCTTTCGCTGCTTTTTTTCGTCGTGCGTCGGAGCGCCAAGGCCTGCCCGGTTGCCCCAGACGGATGAATCTGAAATGATGTGAGGATCCTTGGGCGCAGATATCAACTTATTAGCCTGGGAGGACATAGTCTCCCCGGCGAGGTTATGTGAGCTGGACTGCTCGGGAAGACCAGTGGATCCCTTTTGGGGTGCTTCACCAGCGTGCGTTGAATCGTATCTTACTCCGATCAACGTGTCGGAATTTGCGTGTTTGTGTTGCGACTTGCTAGGGGCGCTCTTCTTTGATTTACCGGTGCTGGGATGGTCAGGTCCGGAAGACGGCTGATCATGAGGGGTCTTCGCACCCTGGCGTGGCGGTTGTTTGTCATCATCTACATCTTGGTAATCTATCCACTGCAAAAGAACATCTACCCAAAGATCTCGCTCTTTGTCGCTCTCGGCGCACAATATGTGTTTGACATAGGCGCTTGAGTCTCTCTTCTTAGGTTCCATGATTAAGAATGCGTGCCTGAATTGGTTGTCAAGGTCTTCCCCTGCCGTTGGCTGTGCCGGCGACTGGTTTTCGTGAGTCTGTGTATGAGATTGCTTGCCGATTTGGGCATTCCGAAGCCTAATGGTACCGAGATGCGCTCCTCCGGGGGTCTCGTAGTACTTGAACTCTGGCTCCGGCCCTTCCAGGACAAAGAACCTAGCTTTCCAGCCTCCGAAGTTCTTGCCTTTTTTGGTCAAATATCCGCTTCGAAGTGGCCGACCATCTGCACCAATCTTAAGCCCACTACTTTCAGGGGTTGGACGGAAAGATGACCCTGTCTCATCAGCGTTCGGTGGAAGTGTATTTGTCGACAAATACTTGCACATTTCAACAGCCGTGGCCGTGTCGAATGGCGTGTCAAGAACCTCGACCATGTATTCCTCCAGGGCAGCCCGCCGGGCGTCTAACTTGGCCGGAGCGTGGCCGGTGAACAGTGCGCGGTCTGGTGTCTTGGCGGTACAAGCTGAGCACTGCTTGAGCTTCGAGTCCAATTTGCTGAGCGAGGCGATGTCCTTTTCGACTCGCCAGAGCTCACTACAATCGGCTCTTGAAATAACAGCAAGTGTAAAGACGGGGTCTTCTTCCAGCTGTGTCAAAGACATAAGACTAGCTCTTGACGGTTTCATCCGTGAAGACGCTACCTTGACCTTGATAGATGGAAGTGCGTTGGGGGGCAACAACAGATTTGGGTACTCCTCTGTAACAAGACCTTTATAGATCTTTGTACGTTCTGTGGGTGAAGGTTGGCTCGCTTCGTCGCTACACTTCCCTGCGTTGAGCTGCGTACCAGACGAGGAACCGGTCGAGCTTGTAGGTGGAGGGGACATTAACGGTGTGTTCGGGGGCATAATAATGGGTTGTCGCGGTGGTCGAGAAGGCAGCGGACCCGACGCACCAGCAAGCCTTGCAGACACAGGCGCAGAAGCTGAATGTGGAATGTTGCCAAATGGACGAGGGGTAGCTGGTAATCCTGGACTCTGAAGTGGCACCACGATGTCCTCAGCAGCAAGCAGCAAAGCATTTATGGAGTGGGACTCCTCTTGCACGTGGGCTTTGGATTGAGATGTAGGGCTTGCGGGTTGGCCTGGGGATTTGATAGGACTTTCTGGACTGGGTTTGGAGGCGCTTGACTCTTGAGCATTTCTGAATGCAATGGCTTGACGTTCTTTCTCGTCATCTTCTCTGGTTTTGCGTCGCCCTCGGGTTTCAGCAACCATCTCATCAACTTCAAGAATACCATCATAGTCAGAGTCGCTATCATCCCCCGCGGCCGGCGCCAGATTTCGTCGGACGTGTTGCTTCAGCTGCAGAGGTGCCGGCGGTGGCTTCCGTGGAGGGGAAGGAAATTGGCTAAGCCCCTGGTCCGGTTGTGGTGATGATGGAGGCTCAGCAACGGTCACGGATGGCGCAGCTGTTGGTATCTTGGGTGGTGGAACCTTGGGTGGTTCACTCGCGTAGCTTCGGGACGGTGGTAGGGAAGCATTGTACGGAATCTCTCTAAGTTGTTCCTCGCTTGTCTCTTTCCAGATTCTATCGGCGGCTTTATATTCTGCTTCATGATCAAACTTGCCCATCGCGTACTCTTGCGGCTTTGGCATGGCGGGTTTCGGGTCGAGCATTTCGCTTACTGCAGTTGGTGATATATGCGGCTTATCGGCTGGTGGGGTAATCGGGTAAGGTGCCATGGGAACATCAATGGGAGAGCCCTTCTGACTGTCTGAATCAAGCGATGGAGAATCTGGTGGTCCATTTGTTTGTACCCTGGGATGCGGCCTTGGACTACGAGGCGACATCGAACCCCGATAGCTATCGAGGCCAGGCGATTCAACCAGTTGCCCAGATGCGGCCTGCATTACTGCCGGGTTGGCCATGATTTCTTTGAGTTTCCTCCTATACTTTTCTTTTTCTTTCAGGGCTGCCTCAAGATCTTTGTTGAGGCCCAAAATCATGCCTCGCTGCTTGTCGACTAGTCTCCATAATTGGCTGTTTTGTTGTGACTGGGAGCTTTTTTCCTTGAGTAAATATTGTATGACAGCTTCTGGGCTGCCCGCCGTTTTGATCAGGCTTGCAATATCGGGGGAGCTCGGTGCATCCTGGAGGCCACCCTTGCCGGAGGATGCTGCTTGTTTCGATGAAATCGCGGATATTGCGGTGTCAATCGAGGAATTTCGGGGCAACCCTTTGGTTACGTCGTTTGGAGTAGAGGCCATTGTAGCAGCCATTACCGGTCTGCCAACCTTTGCGGGCCCTAGAGCAGGCTTCGATGTCACGGAGTCGGAAACGCTTCGATGGTCATTCGGAAGGTTTGAAAAGTTTAGTCTGCGAAACATGGAGGATCAGCAAGCATGGACGAAAGGACGGGAGATGGCATTCTTGGAACTCAAAATAAATCGGAGGAAACAACAAAGCCCAAGAACAGCAATGACAACGCCCGGGTAATATATGTCAAGGCGGCACAGGGTCGGAAGAACGGACCTTGGGATTTCGTCCTCTGGGCTAGACGGGCTTGACGAATCGCTATAAAAGGTCGTCTGCCCAACAGATGCCCTAGATGTCGTCTTGACGGCCGACCTGGTGCCAATAGGCTGGAATCCCTGCTGTGTCGCAGAAACAGCGGGCTCTGGAGGATTCGTGCTCAACGGAGACGTCGCCACGTTGCTTGCCGTAGACAGCGGGCTAGGTACGGGCGGTCGAGGAGATCTGAAAGAACAGAAAAGAAGACGACGTTAGCGATTTGAAATTTTCCACTTGTGACAAGTTGATCCCACGCGAGAAGTGCATGGGGCCCAAGTGAACAAAAGGCCAAAGCTGGGGCCACACCAAAAAAGAACAGCAGTGTATAAAGAAGCCCAGGGCGGCTGTTGAACAGCCGTAACGCAAAGTACAAAGAACTCGGGACCAATTCTTTTGTGCCTTGTGCCTGTGAGCGAAGAGCGGCGTCCAAGGCTGAAAGCATCGTCGGTCAAGGTTCTTGCAGCGAAGAGATGTTTTGGTTTTGTTTGAAGATGCGATTTGGCTACATCGCGAATGGTCTTGCGACCAGCGATAGCCGACGGAGGCAGCGGTAGAGGGAGGTATAGGATCCATTGTCGGAGACATTTATCTCGTAAGCGAACTCACCTTTGGCCTGGATGTGGTAGCGAACCAAGAGCTGACAGTGACGGCACGTTGATTAAGCGTCCAGTTGATGGACTCGTGGGATTGTCGTCAAAGGAGGGTTGTGATCGAGGAGAAGACAATACTTGAGAGGCATGAGGCGTGTGCGAGTCCCAGCGTTGTCCGGCTTCAGGTCGAGTATCAGCATGAGCACCAGTACGAGCATCAGCATCAATGTCTGGGTTCGAGTATGCTTCCGAAGATGAGGCCAGGCCACGCCGCGGCGCATGCTGCGACATAGTCCCGTTTATGCAGAGTGCGCTGCAATCCCGAAAGCCTCTCCGCAAATGTCGGGTGGAGAGGGCGTCTGGCCTCTGGAGCAGGGCAGACGACGGACAACCTCAGCCGTGAGAGAAGGGCCAGGAAGGCGTTTGACGAACGGCGCAATGAATGGTGATGGAGGAGGGCGTGTGGATGTTTGAGCTGGTGGCCCTGGCTCCGAACACAAAAAGTGGCACTGGAGGGGGCGTCGCGAGGCGTGAGAGGCGTGAGAGTGAGAGAGAGAGGCGTGGACAGGGACCTGGGCGAGGTTTCGAACACTTGAGACGCCAGCCTTGGCCCTGATCCACGTCGGATGTAGAGTTTGGTTTTGTGCAATAGCATATGTACCAATCAAGGCAAGGCAAGGCCATACAGTACTGTACAAATATAATACAGGACCAAATCGATGTGCACGGAACAGACGGGGGGAAGGGGCGATGATGGCAGTTGACTGTTGACTTGCACGGATAGCCGGAGGCAGTTGATCAGCGGACGGCTTGCAAGACCCTTTCGAATGATTTGAGGGTTCAATTGCATCCGTCATGGACCCAGTCTGCCAGTCAACCAGTCAGTCATTGGCCTGGCTGGACACGGAGACCAGGAGACATGGACTTGCGAGGCGGCTGCAGGCGACGAGATGACAGGGTACAGCTCGATGCTTGGAATCTCACTTGAACAGCTCAACTCGGTGGGTAGTGCTCAGATACCTACCTAGGTAGGTATGTATGTACAATGCAATCCGTAAAGCAATGTGTCCGGAGTATTCATTATTGTACAATGTGTGAACGAGGGACCCCCTGAATCTTAAACTGGCATCTGCTAAATAAGTGGCCGACGGCTGCGCTTTAACTTGAGGTGACAGGAGGCTGTCAAGCTGCACTGTCGCTCTCTTGTGAGTGTGAGGGGTCCCCTGGATTGATCCCATGTCTTACCCATGTATGACATGGCCGTTCCTCATGGCAGCCGTTCCTCCTCGTGAGAAAGAACCAGAATGCCGTGGTCGCTCTCAGACCTTGACGGCTACAGAGTACCACTCTGTCCTTCAACATCTCCGCGTCTTGATCCGGTATGCTAGTAATATCCTTACCCCGGAAGAGGCCAGGAATTGCAGGCACATTGCATGCCGCGCACCGGGGCTATTATTGCCGTGGTCGATATTGTATGTGTGACAGAATCGACATGGTTCTGCTCCAGTCGGCCTCATGTAAACTGTCACAAGTAACAAGAATTTATTGAGAGAGATTTCTTGCCACAAATAAAAACAAACCAACAAAGAGTAGCCCCTCTTGGCCACTGGGCGAGACGCTGCCGTCACATTATCTCAAGTTCTCGCCCGCCAGAGAGGTATTCAAGGAGAATCCCAAGGGCCTGGCCAGACGCCAAAGTGACACTCGGGATGGAGTACAATGTACATACAGAGCGCGCGATGAAATGACATGGGCGCCCAGCACTGCTCCATGCGACTCCGTAAACTCGCTCGGCTTCAGTCGTTGGAATGGTCTCTGCTCCACATGATCGAGGCTCTTCGATTTGCTCCCATGTGTCACACGTCGAGAAGGCGCCTCAGCGGGAACAGGCCTCAGGCGCCTGACACCCAGTATAAAATAAAAATAGAGTCACCTCAGTGCTACTAGTTTTCCCAGCCGTCTCCCTCGTGTTCTTTCTTCCCTTGCTTCTCCCTAGGTATGTATTGTAATTGTAATGCTAGTTTCGGAAGCCTGGGCACCAAGATGCATACTCCTTCCTCACTCCGTACATCGGACCATGAATCGCACCTGCCGCCTTGAATATTTGCAAAAAAAAAAGTCAAAGTCTACTAGTACTCCATGTGCGCTGGTGGTGGCTTCCAAGACGCCAATCCAAATAAAAGCAATTTCGCAGCGTCGTAATTAAAAGCAAGCCCTCTTCCAAATACTATCATTCATCATCATCATCAGCACGCAGCCTTCTGCGGCCACCTGGGCATCCGTCTGGGTCTAACCTCACACTACTGCACCTCACCAGGGCGTGCTCGCTGCCGTTCTTCAGGCTCTCCGGTCTGTGCGCAACACTACGAAATGAACAGAAGCGGCAATGTCGCCAGTCGCACCCTTCACAGATTCACGAACCTACGAACCAGTCATCTCTCAAGTCCCCAAGTCCCTGAACCGCTACCCTCCTGGCCAGGGGCTCCCTCGCGAGCCCCGCAGGTGGCCTCGAAATGAAATTGGCGACACTCACTAGAAGGGCCGGGGGGCGGCCAGGCGAGCGTGCCGGAGTTTCGACATCCAGGAACAGGATGCGCACGGGGTCAAGCCTGTTCGGACCCTCACCAGCCCGTGGATCCTCGCTCAGAACCTCTCAAGTGCTCCAATCACCCTGTCATGGGTCCCAGCGACTGGGCTTCGCGCTTACCCCATTTGGCCTTTTAAGTTGCCGATGGCTGTCCTACCAGTGGCTTGACCGTTCGTGTCCATCTCATCAACTGAACTTCCATAGCCAGTGAAAGATCAGCAAGTCTGCTATTTATCGGATTCATGAATATTGTCAGCTTCTCCTTAACCCGGGAAGGGGGAGGGGGAGGAAACATGCAGTTGAATTTCTAACCGAGGACAATTTTAAGGTGAGTAGCATCGCCTACGTAGGCGCCGCTCGCGTCTGATCTCATTCCATCTCTAATGATTGGTAAGTAGGTAGTACTACCTTACTCCGTCGTCCGTTCAAGCAGAAAGGATATTTAGTGTCAATATCCTGCAGGTACCACCAAAATACTCTGGAACTAGCCATTCCAGGCCAATCTAGAGACGCCTGTCGGATTCGTAGAAGACGACCCAGCTGAGCTGTGACTGGCACTCCCGTGACCGCCCCTTGATGCTCGCTCGACAGGAGCAAGGAGATAGAATCCCCCTCTCAGACGTCGCTCTGTCCGTTGCCGAACAGTTGGATATCATCAAAGTTAGCTATTAGGCTAGCATGGTGTTCGTCAACAAGTCCGTTTGTCGTCACTGTTGAATTGGGACAGATCAGACCACATACTACTACTACCTTAGGTAGCTAGTTCCTATGGTCCAGTCCACGGATACAACCAAAGTGATGTAAGAGGCTTAGCAAAAATTCACTGCACACGATGCGATGCAACGCAAATCTGACAACCGTCTTCAGTGGCTCGAACTGAACCAGACATCTTGGACTAATCAGGAGAAGAGTTCCATCGCATACTACACTACACTTCTGCCGGAAGATTGAATCACTGGGGCCCTCACCCGGCGTGCCCAAACTCTAGCGCCATTATATCCAAGATTTTTGCCGACCTACATGTCCCATCAGCAACCACAGCACTTGTCTTGATAGACCATGCTGGAAACCTTAACCTCATCTCCATGAAACAGGGCTGCTCGACAAAGCCAGTTGAATTATCAGGCCTATCGTGGAAAGCACCCCGGAATGACTCGCTCACTAATCAGACTCCCCCATCTTATCCAAAGAACCTACTTATACTTTATTCAAAACGAAGAAAATTCACTCCCATCGGACCAGAAGGTGCTGTTTCACGGGTCGAGGTAAAGAAGGTATTTCAATTACTCTCAATGATTTCGACTCGCGGTCCAGGTGCCTCGTTTGCCTATTCGTCAATACAGGCAGCCTGTGCAGCGTGTGCCTAGAGTCCGCAAAATGTGCATAAAATTGCCGCTTGAACATCACTTCCCTTCTTTCTCAACTTGAACAGTGAACCATACTCCACTCAAAGATGATAAAGCTCGGAGTTCTATCTAAGAGACTCCGCTCGTCTTTTCAACCACCCCGGCTCATTTCC